CACACACACAGACAGCCTCTTCCCAATATGCGTTTTTGCAATTTACATATATGCAAAAACGCATAGTAAGCATCATTCGGGCATCCTTCAAAAAGACATTGCATATACAATGAGCAAGTGCTGGGTACTAACTGGAGGCATGGAAACCAAGGTCAAAGGACCTGACACAACTGCCCCGGTGTTATTGCACCGACTCTCCCAACGAACTTGGTATTCGTGGTATATACTGACTAATTAACTGTAAGAAAGGCACATGCTGGTTAGCTCTATGAATCTCTAATTCGCAAACAGATTGCAGTTGAAAAATGAAATTCTCATCTGTGTGTAATAAAGTCTATTTTTAAAATATTAATGCTGTTAAGTTTCCGACTCAAGAAGTCCCCTACAGGGAATTTTCTTTTGCCATCTTTTGCAGCTTTTCGGTTTTATCATCTCCCATGTTGGATTGTGTGCTTTAGTTGCTGCGTACGCCGTACTTGGAGCATTTATGTTTCGTGAAATTGAATATCCCGAAGAACTAAAATTTCAGGGACACATCGAAAACGATACATGGACGGTGCGTTTATTGATTTCTGGACGTAACATTTAATTCCTGTTCTTCCTCATTGTAGTTTTAGAGTAATTAAAAGTTTTCCAACTGTATGCATAATTTCTCGGTTTACAGGTCTGTAGAAAAACTATTTCCCCTAAGCTTTTTACCATTTCAGAATTGTTCTGCCAAAAGCAAAATTAGGAACTTAAAGCTGTGGATCATGGTTTTATTTTCAAAATAAGCTATTGTAGATACGGAAAACAGAAGCCACTAGGATTTGGAATACATCTGGAACTTGTAAAGAAACCTTCAAAATATACGATTTGCCTCAAATTAAGAAGCAAGAGAAGAAAGCACTAAGGATGGGACGACACTTTTTGCCGACCGAGACCCTACCAGGGTGTATAGTTCCTTATTCTGTTGCGCCGTTATGGCTGTCCGAGTCTTCTTTGTTGTCCACTACTTAAATGTCAGTCAAAAAAGATGTTAGTCCCCCTTCACAAATGCTTTTTCATGCCTTTTTCCAATTCAAACTCAGTGCGCCCTCCACACTTTGCTTTTTGAAAGGAAACAGTTGCTTGTTCGGCTGCTGAATCAACAGCACAGATAAAATTCTTTCTTTTGAAAAATTTAGATGCTTATGAAGAACTCTCATTTGGATACTTTCAGCTGACGAAAGTCTTCTAATTAACTGCACAACCAATTATAATTTCAAATGAAACGACTAATTTGTATTTGCAGCCCTCCCTCCCGCCTTTGTTTCCTAACCGCAGTAGTGACCGTACTGTCAGTGATTTTCATCTTCAATAATTTTACAAGAAGCTTAAACCAGACTTGTTCAGACACATATATATCACTTTGGTACCACGAAACTAATAAACCGTGGGAAATTCAGCTGTGGTTCTGAACTAAACTTAGAGCGTAAAGGAAGGTCCACAAGGCGATGTTGCATGAGCACGTCATTTACCGCTTTAATTCCCTCTAGGTCCCTGTTGCTTCATGTTCTAAGGGCTCTCGGATTACTGAAAGAGCCTCATTCGAAGATATTCCGTAATTTCAGGATCCCTTGCCAATAATCATCATTGTTTTCAGGTAGTAAGTGAACTGTATAGGTTTATCGATTCCAGCAATGTAATCGAAGAGGCTGAAGTGAAAAACAAAGCGCACCAGTTACTCAAAGTTTTCGAATTACAACTTGTTAATGCTGTTAACTTTGAAGGTTCTTTCTTTCTTTATAAAGTCAAGTGCAAATAATTGTAGCAGTGTTCTTAAAGATGCGAAAAAATAAAAGTTGAAAAAGGTTGAAATTTTTTAAAAGGTAAAATGAATGTTTAAGAAACCTTTGTAAGTTAAAAGCCGTAAAATTTCAAGGAAAAATAATTAATAAGATATTCGAAAGATAATAAAGGCAGTTTGGTGGAATTTTCTGAAACTAACTTGTTAAGGCTATGATGATAAAGATGTTATAACACCAAATTATCAGTGGACATTTTCTGGTGCTTTATTATTTTCTATTACTGTATTTACGACTATCGGTGAGTTTATCCTATGATTTTTCACAGCTATATTTTTAGCGATGCACCTGCTATATGATTCGGTAAAGAAAAAATTCCTTAAATCAGAATGCCATGCAACACTTCGAAGAGAGAGCAAAGGGATCGGGCCAACAAGGAAGAAGCTCATCGCTTGAAAAATAACACTTTCTTTGTCATTACTTTTCTACTGTTATAAGATCAAGAAAATAAGGATTTGTGTTATATCAACTTACCTTAGCCGAGTCGCCAAAATCAAGACATGCATGAGTTTTCAAAGAGCGCCTGGAAGCTAAATAAAATGCAGTTCCGACTGCTTTGTTCGAAATTATAAGAGTGTTCTGAAATAATAATGATGAATTATTAACGGATAAAATAATCGAATTTGAATGATAACACAGAATTAATAAATGCAATGTAATTTAGGGTACGGGCACATCTGTCCGAAGACGCCTTTGGGGCGTGGCATGACTATATTGTACGCAATGATTGGTATACCTCTGATGTTACTGTGTTTAGCAAATATTGCAGAAAGCCTTGCTCAGGTTCTTCATTATGCTTTTTTGCTGTGCAGCGCTATAGCGCTGCTACAGCCGACAAAAACGCATACTGTCGAAACGCTGTCTGTGTGTGTGTGTTCGGTAAGCGAGTGCATTTTGTCACCCAATTTCATCTCAGCAACCAGGAAAGCTGGGAGGCTGAAACTTTG